ATTTGAGTTATTTTTTTTATCCTTGCCTTCTAATTTTATTTATCCTTTTTCAATACACTTGCATTATCGTACATAGTAATTTCGTGTACATTTATTAATACACTTTTTATATTGCTTAACTTATTAACTTTGTTACATACCACTACATCACTAATGCACAAATGCACTATGCTATGTTTCATTTTATTCCTACTTAAAATGAATACCGATGTCGATCAATATAATCACACACATCATAAATTTAATTACCATCCTAGAGAATACATTTCATCTATTGTATGAATTGTAGTATTTAGTAGATATGATTGCACCACACTATTTTTGTATACATAAGCTTTTAAAGACTACTATGGTACATAAATACTTCAAATGCAATTATTTCTTCATACAACTATGAATACTTTAACAAAAGATTATTATACAATTATTTACACCTTGGATCAATTCATTATTAATCATTATGCAAAAAAAAGATTGCACTGGCAATCTTTTTTGTTGTTATTCATGAACATACTAAACCTGCTACAAATTACTTGTATCTATACTATGCTTTTTATTTGGGGATGATTTCAGAAACCTCTCCTGGTAAGCGTAATTTTTGAAATCTCATGAGTCCTGAGGTTTCTGACAATTTCACCAAATTCTCATGAGATTTCAAAAATTATGCTTACCTCCATTAATTCAATACTTTTAGTAACAATGTATTAAAATAATATTGATTTGGCCAAATTTATTTGAATACCCATAAATGCGGTTGTATAATGAGTTTTAATTTTTTTCTATACAATTATAAGATTATGTAGTATAATTATATGAAATAGGTGCCAAATTTTGAAATTGTGCATATCTGCTATTTTATAAACAACTATAATAATTTTATTATTATGATTAATTAGAAACTTTTTTTTGGTATTTTATTATGGATTTAGAATTATAAACTACAATAAATATGTTGACAACTCATTTAGAGTTTATTAATTTTTCAAGTCATGGAATTATCATTATTTAATAGTGATTTGGCCCATTTCTTTTTCATTTTTGTCAATTAAAAAGAAAGAAGTACAAAACAAAATAAACAAAAATATTCAATTACATATAAAATTAACTTGTAAAAACTTTTTCTAATTCGACATTTAGTTACAATACAAATTAGACACAATAGTGACAATTCTACAGTTTTATTGATGAAAAATTAACAAAAACAAATAAGAAGGAAAAATAATTAACAAATAATTTGGAAACTCATTGTAAATATACGTATACCATATAAGAGAATTTTATTATAATATTTAAGAGTTAAATTGTCTTTTTCAATCCCAAGGGAGGTATGTGTAATTGTTTAATTTTTAAGGGAGAGGGAGTTCAGAGAAATTGTTAAAAATATTGGGGGATGTTTCTGAAATTACCCCTTTCACTGGCCACCCTTTTTAGGGGCCACTTGCAATTTACTGTTCCGTTGGTAAACGTTCTTAAATTAATCATCTTTCCACGCTTGCAATGATGTGGACGTCCAACTGGAACATCAAAGATTTCTCGCCATTTGGTTTGACGTGGAAGTCCAACTGGAACATGTGTGTGACGCCCCGAAAGAATGAGTGCAAGAACCCGAAAATTTTCTAAGTTTCTAGGGTTTATTTTATTGATCGCCCATCTTTTTGACAATTTCTTTATTAGAAAATTTTTTTCAGATAATTTTTATGAGTAAATATAGTTTTTAGATGATTTTTCTAGTATCGGTTAGTTTTTGAGAAATTAAAAGCATATACTGGATGTGGGACCCACTAGTGCGGAAAGTTCGAAAAAATTCGGCCAATTAGGTTAAGTTTGAGATACTGTGATTATTTTACAAGGTATTAAGAGATAATTAGATGTTACTTAGATGGATTATTATTGGAGAAACAAGAAGATAAGATTAAAGCTTAGAGGTGCCAAGTGTCACAAACCCATTGGATATTGAATTTGACCAAGACTTTTCTAACTTTACTAAAACCAATTTGGACCCAATTTCTCTCCATTTTAGCTTGTCTTGGAAGAAATTTTGAGAGAAAAATAGAGAGAAATCCATCATCTTGCACTTCAATTTCTTGTCCAAATCTTGAGTTCCAACCGATTAAATTGCAACCCACTCCATAAAACTTGCTAGCTAAGGAAGATTGAAGCTCTTGGTCGAGTTATTTTGGAAGAAAAATCCCTAAGCCATCACCTTTCTTGATATTTTAAGATATCATGTCTAGCCATCCTTCCTTTGTTCTTGATTATGTTAAATTAATGACTTGTGATAGCTAAAGAGATGTTTTAGTGGAAAATTTCTGGCTTGAATGCAAAAATTTCCAGTTAGGGTTTCATTTCCCCAATTCTGCTCGGCACTGTAGCACCTAGTTAGAGGCCGAATTGGCCTTAGCACAAAACATGAAAGTTGTAGAGAATGATGTTTTCCAGTTTCCTGTAAATTTTCAGCCCAATCCAAGCTGGGTAGCCTGAGATAAGACGAAAATACCCAGACTGGTCTAGGTAGGAGTTCAGTGAACAGGGTTGTCTTTTCACCCAATCTGATCGTGACTTTTCACCATGATTCTAATAGAATTAGATTTTGGCTAAAACATGAAAGTTGTAGCCAAGGGTATAAACGAGTTGCCTGCAAAATTTCAACTTGATCTGACCACTGTAGCATGTGAAAGGACCGAAATACCATTGACTGTCCATGAAACCTGTTTCGCGCCCAGAATTCTATTTTCGTGTAGTTTTCCATTTTTGATCCTAAAAATACATGATTTGGCCTTGGATTAAAACATGAAAGTTGTAGGAAATTATATTTTAGAGATGCCTACAAATTTCAGGTCAATCGGAGCAACGTAAGTTGTGAAAAGACTGAATTACCCCTGCTGCCCTGTTTCTATCCGAATTTGATAGTTGCGTCTGTAATTGATTATTTCGGTTGGGAATGCTTCGGAATTGGTTGTTGAGGTCTTCTGATGAAATGTAGCCTTGTATCGTAGCATTCAGATGGCTTTGGAATCACTTGATTTGGACTTAGGCAGCCTGACTTATGATGTTTGAACCAGAATGCGGTTTGTGAACCCGTTTTTGCGGTTCTGGTGTAGTAGATTGCATTTTTGACCTGGTTACACTCGAAACTGGACTGAATAGCCTTCTTCAATATTGTAGCCCTATCTCTTAGCTTCGAAACGGTACATCTTATACCTCCATCCGATAATTATAGTGCCAATAGTGCCGAAACCGCAAACTGATGTCAAAAAAACTATTTTTATGGTTTAGAACTTAACTTTCATTTCCGGACTTTTCCCTAACTTGAATTGTACTCGTACTACTTGGAGCTTATTGAACGGTTATTGAATGAACTTATTTGTGTGACTTTGGGACTGGCTGAGGAAATAATGAAGCCTTGACGGCTGGAAAAGTAAGCAAATTTAGTGGAAGTGCTGTCTGAACTTTGAAAGGACTTGATTGCATTGAGTTTGTGATCTAAGATTTGGATTTGAGCAAGACAATGATATATGATGGTTGGTTCCTGAGCCGTGGAGGTGAGTGACCCCAAACTATTTCCAAAGCTACTTATGAACTGTTTTCTTGCATTATTTACTCGATTGCATATTATTTACTCGATTGCATTAGTTCCTTGTTGATTGTATCTTCTTGACTTCATGACTTGTATAATTGTTTGATAACGTGTTAAGTGTTTTCAATTATTTTCAAAACAAATTTTCTAGGCGACCGTGTACTTTATCGCGCTCGACCTAAATGAAACGTGAAATTTTCAATGATTTAATGATTGAAACATTAGTTGCGCACGAATGTAAGCCTTTTGGCTGAACTGGCCACTGCCTTTGTTACCGGTCGTCTCGAGCCAGAAGCGGACTCGGTCGGGCGATTAGGGACCTGGGTGAACGTTTGGTATACTCGAGTATTACCTTGTAGGTTGGTGGAGGTTGGTGGAACCTGGTCAATGTTCAGGAAAGGTTGAATGAACGAACGAACGAACGAGGGTTTTATTGATAAATGAAAAATGCATTTTTAAATGAATGAAGGAAAGGGGAATGACAAGAGAACGAACGAAGGAACGAATGAACGTATCCTTTTCATGTATGGTTTCTTGTAAATGTCGTAATTGTTTCTTGACTTATCATTTGATTTATTACATCATTGAAATGAACTATTGTGAAACCGATTTGATTACTGATTTTACTGGTTACTCGCTGAGCTTTTAACTCACCCCAAAACTATTTTATTCCCCTCCACAGGGCTCAAGGCGAAGGAAGGACTTGTAGTACTTATTCACGTGACTGGATGGCATATATCTTGTACAGTTTGGATTTGGAATCATTTGATGTATAGTTTGGGGAATCGTTTCCGCTTCGCTTATAACATGTAATTATTGGAGAATTTGATATAATTTTTGAGATTTATATTGTAATCTGTTTGAGGAATGTAGTGAACGACTGAGTCCCGACGAGAGCTAGGCAAGCGGTCCGCCGAACCCTGGGGTACGCCCTAGGGGGAGGTGGGGCCGTCACAATGTGCGCCTGCAACAACACCGGCTCAGCAATTCTCCTTTCGGTTTCCACGCAACCATGATTTCCTTGGCTGGACAGGTGCCAATGGATGCTTCATCTGGCCAGCTTTTCCCTTGCTGGAGACATCCGTACTGTCTCCATTATAGAAAAATCCCAATTTGAATGGTAAACACAAATTTTGGGTCAAATTTGTAATGATTACGTTGTTAGTCGTCAGTCTGTGATGCCGATTTTGTTGCTCTGTCGGTGTACTACGAAAGATTGCTCCGAAAGCTCAAAAGGAAAACAAAGGCTAAAGTGTTTATAGATAAACTAGGAGGGGATCACCGCGCATTTGCGCGGTGGGCAGTTCTAAAATTTACGTGCCCAATTATGCCCTTTTTACAAAATGTCTGTAACGCAACCAAGGATCAAAAAAATGAATGGTGTGAAATTTTAATCTTACCTAATTATTGTAAAAGATTTTAACTATAAAAAATTGTATTTACAATTTGTCTAACAGTGTAAACTTTGACACTTGTTCACTGTCAAGGAATTCATAATAAATAGATAAAACACTAAAATTAGTATTGTAGAATCTCGAAACATGAACTTGAACTTCCATGATTCCGATAAATACATATTTTAACTTAACCAAAAATAACAACTTTCTGTCATTTGTACTCGTCCCAGAATTGAATGAGCAACTTTTGAAAGAAACAACTGAGAACCTGCCATGTATTATAACAAAATTAGTTTACTGCTATAAAACCAAGTTCAAAGTAAATCAAGAGCCTTGAATGATGCCAATAATGACAGGACAAATTCAACAAACATCTGCACTTTTGGTTACTAATAGTCTCATACAAAATTCGTTACCCCTTCTATTTATTAACCCATTTCACAAGCAAGAAACTTTTTTTTTGGGTACTTTGTTTTGGGTACAGTAGTTGTCAAAGTCCAGAAATGAAAAGATTCTTACAGGTAAGCTAAAGTGTCTTGCTTGGTAACCTGAGTTCTTACCAAAGTGAAAGTATTAGATGTGCTAGATTCCTGGAGATGGTATGCAAGTAAACTTTTCTACAACTTGATCATGAAGCTGCGCAATTTACACAAAATGCCAATGGAAGATAAGGTGAAAAAGGAAATAAAATGATTATGCAATCAAATAGGCTAGGAAGATCCTAAAACGTAAAAATGAAGCAAAAACTTCACCAGAGAGGAAGTCTTTATATTCTAATGACATACTCCAACCCAAAAGCCAAAATACATGCAACTCTAAATAAGGTCATGTAATTCAGCTTTTATTTCCAATAAAGTTTAGATTACTCCAGCATCAAGAATCTATAAAATTTTCAGGTGTAAAGAAAAAAAGTGAAGGCAATATTCACAAGTGTAAAGAAAAACAGTAAAGGCAATATTCATCTAAAAAATCGGTCTTCAATTAATTTCAACATTGCTCCTATTCAATATTCACAGGGTTTACATGGATTGTTGAGGCTTTTGCAACAATTTGTTTAATCAAACTTTTGATATATGTTCTATTCCCACAAAAAGAAAACACAAGTACATGTGACCATTAAACCCCTGAAATGGAACGCAAAACTCTAAATATATAGGGAAGGCAAATAATAAATAAGTTTCTATGAGTTACTGTCCATTTTATCTTTTTTTTTGTGTAAAATCTCAAAATTAGTCCAATGTTGGTTATAAGGTTTTGCTAATCTCAATATTATTAAGAACACCGGACATTATTATAGGAAGTAAGCAATAAAAACTGGTACCAGAGAGCTAAAACTAAATATAAAAACTTGAGCTTCATAGGCAGTAACAAGTATCTAGCAGCTTATATTTACAATGGAAATATTTCGTGCAATAATTAGCACCTTCACTTTACCAACTAATTTCACATGCATGATGAAAGTTATGAATCTATTGACTGTTTTCTCTCTCTGTTTTATGTATTTGTTTATTTTTGGTTGGTTGCATGTACATAATCTGAGGTTCATAGTGTTTCAAACAAAAATCGAGATTTATTTCCTCTTTGTAAATTGAGCTCAATAATTTTCTCTTACCTCTCTCCATATTAATCTCTAATTGTTTGAAATGTTTCTGCAAACCCCTTTTTTTAAAAAAACAATACTTCAATATTATTAGCACAAATCGCAAGTTACAAATAGGGGACAAGACCTGGCCTCCGGAGCGCATGCAGAGCTAACCGTTGGCAAACCCTTTTTATTTAATGATGGATTTCTCTTTTCATGCCATGGGAACATTTTTTAAAGGAGATCAAATACATCCGGAATAAATCCACTTTAAAAGTACTATTTCTTGTATGCAGTTAAAGCAGTTAAAGATGACTTTGTATGCAGTATGGGAACGAGAGCCTATTATCAATTTTCAAAAGAGATACAGAGAACAATAATCACTGTTAACTTCAAAGTCCTGAAAAAAAAAACACAGCATCTGAAGATCTTCATCACAGTAAAGGTGAGTAAAAAGATAGTCTGCCGCGGCACAAAAAGATAAGAATTAGTTTCTTCACCTCAATTATAACTAAGAATGCATTTGTTCACCATACTATTACCCCATATGTTAAACCTTACACATTGACAAGCGCAAATTAGAAACAGTGATAGATTTTCAAATGCATCTGTGACATCTAATGTATCAGATGAAATTCATATACGGTGTTCAGCAAGCAAAGATAACACCATCTGTCAGATACCACCACAATTTGAACATCAGATGGACATTAAATACATGAATCTTACAATAAATGCAATCAAGCAGACAAATGCAGTGTAAAATAGAGAATGGACGTCAGAAACAAACTACTTGATACCCATTCCATTTAGCATTTGAAGACACGCCTAGGACTGGCGGAAATATCATTAATTGATACTGAAGAGCAGGGTGAGGCACTTGTCTAGGCAGCACCATGCAATTGAGCAGATCCACCAGTCACAAAACCCGAAGTATGGTCATTTCCTGCTACAGAAATAGGATCAGGATTAGATGTACCCCAATAATAACATATTCATATAGAGAAAAGAACCTTTAAAGTTGCTTAGAAGAAAGAAGAATTCATAAAAAAAAAATTAGCAATAACAGAAACAAGAGAAGAAATATACTGAGAGAGTATAAAAGCAAGTCTTACCAACAAAAATCAAACAATAAAAATAATGTCACTGATGAAATTTCCCCAAAGGGAACACAATACTGTATATATCTGTGGAAGTAAATTCTAGAGAAGTTTCTATGCATTATTTTCCAATTTTTCTTTTTTCTAAAAATGCAAAATTGGGTCCAACATCAAAGGTCAATACTATGAAGCACAGGGATACTATTTTCTGAACATATTTTTTCCAGCCAAAGATCAAGCCAAGTTTCTTCAATAATTTAAAAGAGCAAAGACGGTATCTTCATAGTAGATTACATGGATTTTGCTTTTGAAACTTCATTTACCTAATTCATATAACTATGTATCTCATGAATCATGAACTGGTGAAAACATCTTCAAGGAATTTAGTCATAATAATGATTTCACTTTGCACATTAAAACCACAAAACCAGAAAAATCGATTATGAAATAAAGGTTTCATCATACAACTTCCCAAATCTTGGCATTACCAAGAATACCAGGTAGTTTAAATAACAGATTCATCATGTTCACCAGCCAAGGAAAAAAAAAGAAGATAGAGAAGAAAAAGATACTCATATCTAATTTACTCTGACAAAGACAATAAAACCCAAAACACAAAACACTGGAAGAAATTTGCTCATTCTTCCAATCACTTTTACCTTTATCCTTTCTCTGACAAAAACCTCAATAAACAAAAATAGGCTAAATTAGGTGAGAGAAACTGTTTATAGAAAAAAACTATGGTTTATAGCATAAATAGTAGAACACAAATAAATATTACCAGCTTTAACTACTTCTTAGAGATGTCAACTTCAAGTCTTCATATTCCTTCCTGTAACAACAACTAATAATATACTCAGAAAAGTAACACCAAAAGAACAAAAAAAAAAAAGGAAAAAAAATCGTCCATCAAATCCTAAATTGGGAGTGGAAGGGAAAAAATTAAATTAGAATGATACAACAAAACTTATGTTTTTCTTTACCAGTTGTTTTTCACGGGTGGCCATTTTTTCTCCCAGCTCCAGAAAAATCCAAGAAAGGCAAGAACGAAAAAGGGAACAACAAAACACCAAGTAAATAAATATCTAAAAGCCAGCTAATCATCAATTATTCATCATCACAGACCATATTAAAAGTTTTTCTTCTAATGAAAAATAAAAAATCAACGATAAAACAGAAATGAAATGGAGACATTAATCATGGAAAGAAATGGGAAGAAAAGTACCATATCTGCATTCAAGAAATTCGCACCAGATAACAGAGATGAAATATTGACCTTCCCCTTCTTCATTGTTTCACAAAAGGACACGAAGGAGATGGGAAAAAAAAGATTTGCTGCTTTTAGCCAAGAAAATAGAAATATTAGGAAAAATTTCAGAAAAACAGAAAAATTTAGCCCTAACTACTCGAGGGAGGGAGGAAGATGATGAAGAACAAGAGGGAGAACCAGAAATAGAAGGGGAAGAAGATTACCAGCCATTTTCTGTCTCAAGCCCATCGTCCATCAAATCCTAAGCACCCACTCCTTAGAAGAAGAAAAAAATCTAGACCTTCCAATTGAGATTGCAATCTCTTCCAAGTACAATCAAATGCCAGAAATTGAGGTGCGACCTCTGGGTCTCATGGCAAAAATGGGGAGTTTTGCCTAGGAACCAGTCTTCAAGAGCTCTTGACATTGATTGATGTTGCTATGTTTTGAATAAAAGACAGAAAGAAAGAAGAGAGAATTTTGTCTAGAGGATAATAGCAATAAGAACCGGTCTTTAAGAGTTGTTGACATAGACAAATGCTTCTGCGCTGGAATGAAAGAGAGAGAAAGAAAGCGGAGAAAAAAGTGGTTGAAGATTCATCCACATACGACGCCGTTTGGTTGATCAAAGGGTAAAAAAAAAAAAAGGAGACAAACCGGTCCAGCATCAGCTCCAGATCATCACCACTGACCAATCCCCACGCCATACATGGGCGGACGACCATCCCAGGTGGCAGGGGGCTTCCTCTCTTTATCTATATGTTTAAAGAAACAAAAGTGTACTTTTTTTTTTTTTTTGGGAATGGTTGATGTCTTATAATCTAATTTAACCTAATCTAAAAAAAAGGGGTAAGGGAAGATGATCAACTAAATCTAGCCACTTATGGCAAATTTGAGGGATCATCAAATAGGGTTATGACCACTGGATTAAATAGCCAGTAGCATGTACTCTTTTTTTTTTTGCCGGAAACGATAAATCTAATATATCCTACACTAAGAGGAAAGGGGCGGATCTAAAGAGGCCCAGGGATAAGCCGGAGGGGACTGAACCACCACCGGACCAAACGGGTGCACAGCACACCCGCTTGAATTTTTTGGAGACAAGCCACAAAAATGTGGCATTTTTGGTGGGAGGCAAGGTTAGAACCCTTGCTTCCCACCCCACTCTAACCTTGCCTCCCACCCCATTAAGTAGGTAGTGGCCACTGAGCCAAAGGCCCAGCGGTTCAGTAGCATGTACTCCGATTACTAGAAACAACAAAAAGTACAAAAGTCCCATCACCATCAGTCACAAGGTTAAAATCATTTAACCTTAGAACCTAGATCCGGAGCAAATGGGGGTTGCGGTCAACGGCCCAATATCGGCCCAGAGGTTTGTTGACCTGCGACCTTACCAACCATGACGTGTTGGGACACCAATGCCTACGGGACCAAGAATACCTTTTAATTAATCATGGGTTTGTTCATGATCTAACTAGATATTATATTGCTCAATCTTTAATTACGGCACGTCTCATACGCAGAATCTTAGTCCACGATTTTTCATTAGATATATTCATCTTTAATTGCGGCAGGTCTCATAGGCAGATTAGCTGGCTCAGGCAAATCTCAGAGTCTTGGACACTTTTATTTCCCCCCAAATTATAGGGTTAATTGTAATTTTCATCCTCCAACTATCAATCATTAGTACTTTGCATCCTAAACTAATAATTTTAGCACAAGGATCAAATCTTAAAAATCAATGAATTTCTTTTGCGCTATTTGTTGATTATTCAACGCCCAAAATATTGATTTTTGTGGCATAATTTTTTCATCCCACATCGGCTGAAGTTCAAGAAAAGGCTCCATTTGTTTCTTATAAATAAGGGAGGTCTATGAAAGTTTTAAGTGCACCACTCAAGAAAGTATTATATGGGTTATTAGTTTATTGAGTCATCTAACCCATTTATGGTCAAATATTTTAGACTTTCTTGTTTTGAATTTAGAAATATTTTCTAAACCTTTTGTAAGTGCCATTTTGGCCTAAGAATCATTTTCCTACGACTTTTGTATTTTTTTCTTCATAATAGAAATATTGCTCCTCCCTCACCCGTGGACGTAAGTTAATTTGATCGAACTACGTAAATTTTTGTGTCTTTTATTTTGCTTTGTTATTTGTCTTTATTGGGTTGCCACAACCCTTTTATATGGTTTATTTTACCGCCTAATTATTATATGACTGGTGTCTACCGTCTAACCATTATATGGTCGGTTATACTATCTATTTTGTTCTAATTTTAGTTTATTTATTCCTGAGTCAGTCCTAACAAACTGGTATCAGAGGTGGTTGATATATTTTGTCAGATAGGTTCATCTCGTGGGGCCATTCATCTTGTGGGACCGTTTATCCGTGGGGCCCACTCATTCTGTGGGTCAGCTCACTCTGTGGGACCCGCTCACAAGACTTGCATATTTGTTTGACCAATTTTTGAGACAAGATTTAAGTTACAGATTTTGTGACAACGATGACGGTAATAAAGACGGTTATTGAAAAATTCGACAGGAATGTCAACTTCGGAATGTGGCAACTCAAGATGGAGGCCATACTTGTTCAAAATGGAGTTGATTTGGCAATACAAGGAATTGAAAACAAGTCAGAAGATGTAAAGGATGTGGATTTTACTGATATAGATAAGAAGACTATATCCAGCATAATTTTGAATCTCTCTGATGAACTTTTACAGGAAGTAGCAAAGAAGACTTCGGCCAAACCTATGTGGGAAAAATTGAAAACCTTGTATATGAAAAAGACAGTCGAGAATCGGCTATATCTGAAATAGAGTTTGTATATGCTTCGGATGACTGAAAGTACATCTATACTCTCCCATCTTGATAAATTTGATTCCATTATTATGGATTTAGAGAACATAGATTCAAAAATTGATGATGAATATCAGACCCTATTACTTTTGTGTTTCCTTCTCCAGTTCTTTAAACATTTTCGTGATACTATAATTTATGAAAAGGAAATAATTTCGTATCGACAAATTAAATCTGCATTAAAATTTAAAGAGTAGATAGATAGGGATATTATTGAAAAAATTAGTAGGAGTTAAGCCGATGGCTTGTTTGTTCAGGGTAGATTTAAAAAGAGAAATACAAAAAATAGAAGTAGATCCAAATTCAGGTATAAAAATGTGGTGTGCGACTATTATAAAAAGAAGAGCCATATTATTTCTGATTGTTTTAAATTGAAAAATAAAGAAAAATAAAAGGAAAAAAAGAGTGAGACTACCGAAACTGGTATTGCAATTGATGAGAATGATGAAATCATTTTCTGTGCAACGAAAAATAATTTTAGATCTAGCAATGAGTGAATTATAGATTCAAATTGTTCATATCTTATGTGTCCCAATAGGGATTGATTTTCAACATATGAATCAACTGAATGTGGAGTTGTCTTAATGGGTAACAACGCCATTTGTAAAATTGTTGGCAAAAACACAATCCAGATTAAAATATATGATGGTATTGTGAGAATGCTCACAGATATTAGCCATGTTCCACATTTGAAGAAAAATCTCATCTCTTTGGACACCTTGAGTCTATTGGGTGCAGATATTCATGAGGAGGTGAATTTCTCAAAATCACTCAAGGTGCTCTTATTGTTATGAAGGCACATAGATATGATACTTTGTATATTTTGCAAGGATCTACTATTATAGGTGTTGCTACTATTTCAACATCAACTTTGTCGGATTCTGATCTCACCAAATTGTAGCTCATGAGCGAGAAAGACTTATCTATTTTATGCAAACGAGGTTTTCTTGGTGGTCAAAATATTGGAAAGATGGGATTCTGTGAACATTGCATTTTTGAAAAGAAGAAGAGAGTTAGTTTTTTGTTGCCGACAGTTCACAGGATAAAAGGAATTTTGGACTACATTCATTCAGACCTTTAAGGGCCTTCTTGTGCTCCTTTTAAAGGAGGTGGCAAGTACATGTTGACTTTCATTGATGATTATTCAAGGAAAGTTTAGATATATTTTCTTAAGCATAAAAAATGATGTTTTCCTAACTTTTAAGCAATGGAGAGTTTTGATTGAGAAACAAACAGAAAAACATATTAAGCAATTGAAAACAGATAATGACATGAAATTTTATGAAGGTGAATTTGATAGATTCTGTAAAAATGAAGGAATTATTCGGCATCGCACTGTTAGAATGGCGTCTCAACAAAATGGTGTGACCGAACCTATGAACAGAACGCTTTTGGAGAGAGCAAGATGTATGATCTCCAATGCAAGGTTGACAAATGACTTTTAGGCAGAGGCGATCAATATAACATGTTATATTATCAACTGTTTTCCATCTGCATCTCTAGATTTCAAAACTCCTAAGGAAGTTTGATCAGGTACTCATGCTGATTATTTTAATTTAAAAATTTTTAGGTGTCCAACATACATGCACGTGAATGATGAAAAATTGGAGTTGATGAAAAATTGGAGTTTAAGGCTAAAATATGCATTTTTCTTGAGTATGCTTTTGGGGTGAAATGATACAGATTATGATTTTTCGATCTCAAATCTCTAAAATTTGTAATCAGTAGATATGTTACTTTTGATGAATTGTTTATGTTATCTTTCAAGAAGGAGTGTTCTAGTTCTTGTACTACTGATAGTATACAGAAACAGGTGAAGCTTGATATTGGCAATTCTGGTTCTTTTCAGACCAAATCTTCTGTTCAGCAAATGCCAGTAGATGCACCTGAATCTACTGTTGAAGATAGTTCAGAAGAAGAGAATTATTCCATAGCCAGAGATAGATCAAGGAGAAATATTCGACCACCACAAAGATATGCAAATTTAGTTGCATATGCTTTGTCTGTTGTAGAAGAAACTGATGCAGTTGGTGAGCCTTCCACCTATTCAGAAGTAATTTATTGTGATGATTCTGCAAAGTGATTGATTGCGATGAATGAAGAAATTGAATCTCTTAATCAGAATGAAACTTGGGTTCTTGTAAAATCGCCTTCAGATAAGAAAATTGTTGATTGCAAGTGAATTTTTAAGAAGAAGGAAGGTATTCCAGGGGTTGAAGATGCAAGATATAAAGCACGATTGGTTGCAAAGGGCTATAGTCAGGTACAAAGTGTTGATTTTAATGATATGTTTTTACCTGTTGTTTAACATAACTCTATTCGTGTTTTGCTTACTTTAGTTGCCATGTATAATTTGGAGTTAGAACAATTCGATGTTAAAACAGCTTTCTTACATGGCAAACTTAAAGAACAAATTTATATGAAACAACTCTAGAATTTTGAGATTGAATGTAAAGAAGACCATGTTTACTTGTTGAAGAAATTCTTATATAGATTGAACCAATTTCCAAAACAATAGTATAAAAGGTTTGATTGCTTTATGTTGGGTCATGATTATTCAAGGAGCATGTATAATAGTTGTATTTACTTTCAAAAGTTAGATGATGAATCTTTTATCTATTTGTTGATATATGTTGATGACATACTCATTGCTGTCAAGAATTTGTCAAAAATTCACACTTTGAAATTGCAGTTAAATAGTAAATTTGAAATGAAAGATTTGGGAGCAGTTAAGAAAATTTTTGGCATGGATATCAAGCAAGATCGAGGAATAGGAAAGTTGTTCTTGACCCAAAAAAGTTACATTGAGAAAGTGTTGGAGCGTTTGCATGAAAGATGTTAAACCAGTATCTATTTCTCTTACTATCTATTTTTCGGGTATCTGCTGCTCAGTCACCACAGTCAGATGAAGAGGAAGAATATATGACACGGATTCCTTATTTCAGTGCAGTCGGCAATGTTATGTATGCAATGGTTTGTACTCGTCCAAATATCTCACATGCAGTTAATGTTGTTAGCAGATATATGTCTTACATTGGTAAATCACATTGACAGGCTGTGAAGTGGATTCTCAGATACTTGCAAGGGACTTCAAATGCATGTTTGAAATTTGGAAGAAATAATAATATTTTGGTTGGTTTTGTAGACTCAGACTACGTTGGGGATCTTGACAGGAGAAGATCACTTTCAGTCTATGTATTTTGTATTGGCGGTTGTGCTGTTAGTTGGAAAGCTACTCTACAACCTGTCGTAACTTTGTCTACTACAGAAGCAGAATATATGACTGTGACCGAGGCAATCAAAGAAGCCTTGTAGTTGAAGAATTTATTTAGCGAGTTCAGTCTACACCAAGGTGTTACGGTTATTCACTGTGATAGTCAAAGTGCTATACACTTGACTAAAGATCAGATGTATCATGAGAGGACGAAACATATTGATGTGAAGTATCACTTTATCCGAGATATCACTGTGGAAGGGAAAGTCCTTGTTCAGAAAATCAGTACCAAAGAGAATCCTGCTGACATTTTTACAAAGCCTCTTCCAGTTTATAGGTTCAAGCAGTGCTTGGACTTGATTGGTGTTAGTTGTTGGTGATTTAGATCTATTGGAGCTTATATGGAGAAGGTGGAGCAGTTTTGCCATTGTCGATAGTGGGACTAGAAATTATGTCAAGGTGGAGATTTGTTGACTATTTAACCCCCAAAATGTTGATTTTTGTGGCATAATTTTTCCATCCCACATTAGTTGAAGTTCAAGGAAAGGCTCCCTTTGTTTCTTATAAATAAGGGGGGTCTATGAAGGTTTTAAGTTCACAACTCAAGAGAACATTATATGGGTTATTAGGTTCTTGGGTCATCTAACCCATTTATAGTCAAATATTTTAGACTTTCTTATTTTGAGTTTAGGAATATTTCCTAAATCTTTTATAAGTGTCATTTTAGTTTATGAACCACTTTTTTACGGCTTTTGTATTTTTTTTTCATAATAGAAATATTGTTCCTTTCTCGTCCGTGGACGTAGGTCACTTTGATCGAATCACGTTAATTTTGATGTCTTTTATTTTGTTTTGTTATTTATCTTTATTGGGTTGTCATAACCCTTTTATATGATCAATTTTACCGTCTAATTATTATATGGTTGATGTCTACCGCCTAATCATTATATGATCGATTATACCACCTATTTTGTTCTAATTTTAGTTTGTTTATTCCTGGACCAGTCCTAACACTATTTTTAAACTAAATATCTTTAGGCCAACTATTTTGCACGTGTTTAGTAAAATTCTCTTATTCATTTCGATCAAACAGTTGCAAATTCCATGTACCAAAATTTGCATTAGTTGTCGAATACTGAGGCAACTTTTGACTCTTATCATTTGTTAGACTATCCATGTACGTACGTACGTAGGAAAATGCCTTTCGCAGGTTTCTAGTTGAAATGTCCTTGATGTTAATTGCATTCATTTTCAACCGTCGTCTTTGTTGTCTTGCAACATTATTGAAATCGTCCAATGGCAACACATCACCTGGGTCAAGATTATGTTTTCTTCCTGGCTTCCCTTCGTCTCTCTCTTGGGGTGTGTATGCATGCCGTTTTCTGGTGGTGGTGGTGGAGTACTATTATCTTGATGCAGATGGAAAAAAGTTTGTACTTTAAATTCTTCAGGAATCGACACTAATGCCAGCTTATTTAAAAACCCAAGCCGGAAATTGACAGCAGAAAGCAGTGCCATAATAAACAAATCTACGTATCAAGTTTCGAAGTAAAGCAAAAAATAAGTTGACCTGAAAACAATTCTGACAAGTGGATACAGCTTCTCGAAATGAAAGAGATGCTTTCTTACGCGATAAATGTGTATACTGTACAGTACTGCAGCCAGTGTCACCACGAGCAAAGATAAGATTATCAACTTCCAGAAGTCCTAATCAACAAGGCAGCAGATCGTATTAAAGAGTTGGAAAATGTAAATCCTCAAGACTACTGTGGTGAAAAGAACCACGAAAGATGTTCCTCAGCTGTTGATCTTCAAAGTTCGTTAATTTTCGTATAACTTGGTGATTTTATCATCGGCCAAAGAGGGGAAAATTAACCAGAGCAGAACTTTTCAATTTTCCCAAATCAACAGAACTAACAAATACCTTGAGATTGAGATTTCGGGAGGACCCAAAAAAAATGTTTAGCATGAAATATTTGTTTTTCCTGTCCCTTCCTCTCTGATTAGTGTTTATGCCAGTTGTGTGAGCGTGCGCTAAAATTAAGCCCATAGAGACAAACATGCGGAGGCTCATACAAGATCACAAATAAAGGTGAATATTTTCAAGCGTTTGTGTTGCTGGATGAGGACATCTTCCGTACGTTATGTTTCCCATCCTTTCTCTAAATGGAAGATCAATTTCCACACGTCAAAGTCTAGGCAATTATGAGGTGGATAATTTGCAAGAAGGACCAAGTATAATGACAACTCAATAGAGCTGGCAAATAGATTCACATTCCATGCAAAGGTTCACCGAAAAAACAAAGTGAGAGATTACCCGGGGATTAGATATTATTATGCCCATGACATAAGTGGTCAAGTCCAACACAGACTGTAGAGAGTTTTGAACACCTCCAACAACACAACGATCAGATTCCGGAACTTGATCCTATCCACATACATTGCCAAAAAAAAAAAAAAAATTACCACATATTCTACTGAAAGACAAGCAGGTTAGCAATATTCATTAGGACTCACCTGCATTTGCTGAATGACTGCTAAATCAAACATCCAAAGTCCAAGACGTGACAGAGCCACTCCACCCATAAGCAAATATGCTGCTCCAAGTTTATTCGGGACCCAAATTGAAGCTACACATACCACTAGGCAAGTCCACTGTATAAATAAAGCATCCAATGCCATAAATTAGTGAGTGGAATCAGCAAGTTACTCACCACAAAACAAGGCTTATAAAAGCAATAAAGTTTCCCTGTAAGCTCCAAGAACTATGAATGAACTGACTACCTGAGACCAAATTGACCAGAGACCTGTACGAAGTGTTGAAAGCTGTGATTCTAAAACAGGGTACAAAAAAGTTGCAAGAATCCCTATCGTAGCGCTTATTCCTCGTGCAATCCCAATTGTATAGGCTGGTATGCCTTGCCATTCCAAAGCAGCAGTCATTAGAGTTCCGAAGCTGAAATGCCAAGCAACAATGGATTATGTCCTGAAGACACATTGGCATTTAAACCCAGAAGCATGAAATATTCCATCCTCAAACTTCCTACTATTGCTCTCATGATCCTAAAGATTACAAAATGAGGCATTCCCTCTTCTTATTGAGACATCCTTCAGTAATTTTAAGTCAAGAAACAAGACATCTTTAGTGAACAAAAAAATTGGATATGAGAGGTCATTATTTAAATATATTTATCAGCTTAATTGGCAGGGTGGAGAGAGAGAGATGAATAAAACATATAAATTCATGCAGACAACTATAATTTGTAAACGCCAATATCTTAAAGAATTTACCTAAGTACGGTAAAGTAGAGAAAAGCAAGCGCAATTCCAGGCAGAACCACATCTTGCTCTAGATAAACTTTCCATGCCCTGAAGTAAGAGATTCTTGAAACTCGTTCGATTACTTTTCTCATCCAGCCGTGGTCGAGAGGCTCCAAATCATTATCACCTAAGTAGTGAGAGTTTCTACTTTCATCAGTCAAGGAGCTTCTTTCCGAATCAGTTGGCAGAGATCTATAAACCCTCTTTTGACTGCTTTCACTTAAAGCAGGAATTCCATTGTATACAGACATTAGAAGCCAATACTGCAAGCAAACGGACAATATATTCCAGATAGCTAGAGTTAAAGCTGAAGCAGTTAGAGAGACAAAGCTGATAATGAAACCAGAGACTACAGGAGCAAATAACTTGCAAACTAAATCAATCCTCCGAATGGTTGCATTCATCTTAGTCAGGACACCTGGATGTTGACCTTCTGATATCACAACCACCCTGCAGAAAAATGTGAATATCATATCTTTTTCTTTTATATGTCTAAATTAATTACTACGACTTTCAAGGAACGTGCTATCCTTTGGTCGAACTGGTCAGCAAGATGAGGTATACATCAAAACCAAGTTCATCATTTGACTCTCATGAGATGCTATGCTAATTTTAGCAACAGATTGTACAAAAGAGTAATGCAAGATACTACGTGCCAGAATGGTTCACCATTCTCTTTCAACCAGAATGGTTCCAGCAAGAGTGGAGAGCACACCAACAGCTCCAGAAATATTGATTAACAGGATAAACGACAAAAATACTATGAAATTTTCTGACTTCACATCCTCATACAGCAGAAGTGCAACCACAGTGCCTCCAGCAATCATAAAGGAGAAATTTTGGCTTAATAACCAAAGTCGAAGAACCTACAAGTTAAAAAACAGAAGAATAATAAGTATCATTTCCCTAGGACAAGAAGTAAAAAAGCATTAGCTGTTTTTTCCCCTAAAAATGCTGTTATTGGATAAGCGCATGACGTGGATAATAGATAGAAATCACAAGTCTACATGATAGAGATTCTGCAAGGTAAATTCCGTTCCACAACATGGCTTCATTCTTTGGTTGGACATGCAGCAAATAATTTTTTACCATAGTCATCTTGTTCACTCGGAATTTGTATGGTTCAAAGCTAAAGGTTTTCCTTTTCAAATACTAGACTTGATCCAAAATCTTTGCAATTAAAAAATTTTTTTTTTGAAGTCTCTTAATTCCTTTGCTTCATTTTGACATGCAAATACTACAATGAGGATGACATCATCAACCATCAAGAAGGCATCTCAAGATAGAGACTGAAACGAGCCTTGATGTACGTGAACTTATCAACCAACCGTCCAACAACAGGACCAAATAATGCCATGGAGGCAGATTCCACCACACCATAAGCAGCAGCAAGGGCCAGCGAATCCGGCCAGACATTAATCATGTACAGACCAACAGAGAATTCCCACATTCTGCAACCAAAATATACCCTCATGAAAAGCTAACTTTAGTGCAAGTATTTCAATTGGTTGGCAAATTGAGTCAGAATTATCGCAGAATTATCGCAAGAAGTGCAGTAGGAAAAAGGACTACATCTAAAATATCCAAATTAAGACTGGAAAGAAAGACTTGAAAGAAACAAGAAAATCACAAGAGTAGCGCGAATTCTCAAAATGACGTATTTGAGAAATGCTAAACGTAAATCCAAGAGAATGTCGCATATCCTTTGTGAAAATCGTTTTATTTATATATTTATTCTAGTTAATCGGTAAAAAAAAAGTGTCCAAAGAGTAGAGAAAACAGGTTTCGGTAAGACGAGACGAGAAAACCAACAACTCATACAACAACACACAAGACATGACACGCCGCTTCTTCTGACTGAAACTTGACGAAACAAAACCCTGATTTAAAGGCTTCGCTAATGATGAAACGAGAATGAGGGGACATATTACCTGGCACCCCATCTGGCTAGGAAGTGACCAACGTAGAGATAATTGAGGAGAGACGGGGGAAAGGAAAGAGGCTGCCGCTGCTGCTCTTGAGGTTCAGAAATTAACGGCTCGTTCAACATCTCGATACGATAGATTTGCCGCTGCCGCTGTTTCTATTTAGTATTGCTCGATGGAGATATAGAGTCCCAGAACTGGGTTATGCTTCTGACTTTTGTGCTTTGAATCTCTGGTCAAAGAGAAGGAGCCTGGCACCCTGAGACATCGGAACCAGCTGAGCTGAGGTCGCCTACTTACAGTTGGGAGTATTTAATTAGCTGAGTGTTTACGTGGTGGAGAATCCATGCGAGTAGTTTTTGTGCTCTGTTGTGTGGAGTGCTAATAACAAATTTGGGATTAAGATCCTCTCAAATGAATTTCTCTCCATTCATCTATCCATTTTTTTCATATTCAAACGATAATCCTTTGAGAATATTTTGACAATCTTTTAAGAATATTCAATTTACACAACATTTTTGTGCAATTTGAACGATAAAAAAAAAAAATTTTGGGTCAAATTTGTAATGGTTTCGTTGTTAGTCGTCAGTCTGTGACGCTGATTTTATTGCTCTGTCGGTGTACTACGGAAGATTGCTCTGAAAGCTCAAAAGGGGAAACAAAGGCTAAAGTGTTTATAGATAAAGACAGAAACAAAAGTGTACTCCGATTGCTAGAAAGAACAAAAAGTACAAAAGTCCCATCACCATCAGTCATAAGGTTAAAATCATTTAACCTTAGAACGTGGATCCGGAGCAAATGGGGGCTGCGGTCAACGGCCCAATATCGGGCCAGAGGGTTGTTGACCTGCGACCTTACCAACCATGACGTGTTGGGACACCAATGCCTACGGGACCAATAATACCTTTTAATTAATCATGGGTTTGTTCATGATGTAACTAGATATTATATTGCTCAATCTTTTAATTACGGCACGTCTCATATGCAGAATCTTAGTCCACGATTTGTCATTAGATATATTCATCTTTAATTGCGGCAGATTAGCCGGCTCAGGCAAATCTCAGAGTCTTGGACACTTTTATTTCCCCCAAATTATAGGGTTAATTGTAATCTTCATCCTCCAACTATCAATCATTAGTACTTTGCATCCTAAACTAACAATTTTAGCACAAGGATCAAATCTTAAAAATCAATGAATTTCTTTTGCGCCATTTGTTGACTATTCAACGCCCAAAATATTGATTTTTGTGGCATAATTTTTTCATCCCACATCGGCTGAAGTTCAAGGAAAGGCTCCCTCTATTTCTTATAAATAAGGGGGGGTCTATGAAGGTTTTAAGCGCACAACTCAAGAGAGTATTATATGAGTTATTAGTTTCTTAGGTCATCTAGTCAATTTATAATCAAATATTTTAGGTTTTCTTGTTTTGAGTTTAGAAATATTTTCTAAACCTTTTGTAAGTGTCGTTTTGTCCTAGGAACCACTTTCTTACGACTTTTGTATTTTTTTTCTTCGTAGTAGAAATATTACTCCTCCCTCGCCCGTGGATATAGATCAATTTGACCGAACCACGTTAATTTTGGTATCTTTTATTTTGCTTCATTATTTGTCTTTATTGGGTTGCCACAACCCTTTTATATAGTCGATTTTACCGTCTAATTATTATATGACTGGTGTCTATCGCCTAACCATTATATGGTCGATTATACCGCCTATTTTGTTCTAATTTTAGTTTATTTATTTCTGGACCAGTCCTAACACTATTTTTAAACTAAATATCTTTAGGCCAACTATTTTGCACGTGTTTAGTAAAATTCTCTTATTCATTTCGATCAAACAGTTGCAAATTCCATGTACCAAAATTTGCATTAGTTGTCGAATACTGAGGCACCTGGTCCGGATATAGATGTAGAGATTGATTAACCCAAAAAAAAAAAAAAAAAAAACTGCTCTCATTTGGACTCATCACGTTTCCAGTCGGACACAAACTGTATTTACTACTGTTTTGATCCAATGCAAAATTATTAACTTTGCTTCGCTTCCTGCTTTGAGTGGTTAGAGACCAATTTTTCAATGTCACGGCAACTTGAACAGGGGTCGGTCGTCAGTTCACCGGGGAGAAGTCTTAGGTAATTACGACAAATATCACAAAAGTCAGATGCCTTTGATTATGGTTTTGCATAATGATTTTTTAAGTAATTAGTAACACTCTACTCACTACTATAACTACAGCAGTATTACATTTCGTAGTCAAAAATATTAATTTACCGCTCTGCCATGCCAAACAAAATTGATGTTCTCTCCTAAAATGCGATCTTCTATCATTCATCCCCTCCCCTCCCGTCACCATTAGAAGCATACTACTTTCTCCAAACCATCCCTGCTTACCAAACCAACCAAAAAAGAAAAAAGGTGCGATCTTCTGGACCAGTTCCGCTATCACTACTAATTTTAAGCGCCTGAAATTGAAAATATCTTTGCCAGTAATAAGGCTATCAACACAACCACACATTCCATAGCTCTTTTTAGCACAAAGGAATCTTAGCATCAATACTCGAAACTCAATCAATACCATAGACCTATCAACATCCCAAGTCTTCAAAATAATAGAGATTACGCCAAATACTACATGGAGTAGCTGTTTAGTTGTTCTAGGCAAAGCGTATTTCCAATGTCAATGGCTTCCATCCAAAATTTTCAATCAATCTTTATATCAGTGCATCAAATGCCCATCATATCCTTTCGACGCCAAGGTTATCCCCACCATGAGCCACGAATAAAAAAAAATAAATGTACCACAACAAACAATATGCAAGCTCTAGAGGTAGAAGAATGGTAGTAGAGTCATAGGAACTCAACACAGGTCAATTTCCCAGCAGCTAAATCAAAGCCCAAGGACCCTGCAAAAAATCCAGAGAACTGTAACATCAAATTGCCTAGAAATTTCCATCATCCAGAGAACAACATCAAATTGCCTAGCAAGTACTCGAGAAATGCACGCCACCCACTGGATAATCAAGCAACTAAATCGACCAAGCCGTGATATAAGTGATAACAGATGAACACTAAATTTGCTGTCTGAACAGGTTATTGTAACGTAAGATGCAATCACAACTTTAGAAAGCCAAATGCTCACAACTAGCTGGAATTGGTTAATCCACAAGAGTCTAAATACATGGTAAACATCAGTAACAAGGTTTGGCAATTGTTTTATGCCTTTTTTCCGCCTTTATATGGTTTTATATAAAGCATTTGGTTAAATTACTATGTACCCATGGTTTTGTCTACTACCACATGACACCGCCCCAACCCCCCCCAAACAAAAAAGTCTAAAAAATTCCACATAACCCCTGTAAATTTGTGTAATGTCGAAATTTGACAGAAACTAGCCTCTATAACACCGTAAGTTGAAATATCAATTTTTCCCTTACTTAAGCACTAATATGACAGGGGCTAACTCACTTTGTATAGAACCATAGGGGAATTATACGCATATATTGAAACAACAAGAGAGGTTAAATGGATAGTATGGAGCGCGTTCAGGTTAATTGTCCTAACTAGAGTTGTTTTCCATTCACTTTCCGCTCTACATAAAAACACGTCCGGTTACGTGGATATTTTGCACTGTTAGGGGGGTCATATGGTAACATGCAAAAACACATGGGGTGAATAGTAATTTACTCAATGAATTTGTGTTGTTAACCATATGTTTGCATTTTACATGTTCAACGATCATACAACTACCTTATTTTTTACCAATTAATTGCTAAAGACTAATAAAATTGCTAACCTTTTCTGCCATACAGCTTGTGTTAAAACACATTCTTTAAATAGTTCTATGTTATTTTGCCAGCAATTACTCTTACTTGAGTGAGCTTTTAGTAATGTAGTAAAATTTCTAAAATCCTCATGTATGACCAGTCTTCTAAATTCCCATCAATGTATGTCAAAAATCATAATTAGTCATTCACGAGTTTAGTTATTAGACAAAGTGAACACCACTTGCAATAACATGTGGACAAATTCCCAGAGTCACAAAGGAAGTTTTTCTGTGTACTGATACTAGTACTATTATTAGTACTATTCTGTAACCAAAAAGAAAAAAGATACCTGCACCATATTCATCAGAACATCATCCAGACTTAGAGGAGACCTTTATCAGCTCAAAATCCAAATCTTATAAACAATTATTCATCTTTGAGCATCAAAAAAGGTTTTTGGTCAGCTGCCCAAGAACGTTATTATTATTAATGTGCCTAATTAGCTGTCTACGAACACAATTGACCATGCTAATCCAATTATATTACTATCAAGGTAGTAGCTGAATCTTCTTCAAAACCATTGTGCTGTTAGTCAACTTCACTGAGAACTTTTTGATTCTTAAGCTGCTAGAAAGGGAAAAAACCTAATTTGAAGGTCAAACCAATGCAATTATTCCAAGTTTAAGGACCTTTATCTGCTTCTTTTACAAGTACTCCCTGTTTACCAGTAGAAGTTACAGATTCCAATAACTCCATGCTGTATGGTGGCCTATACACGAGAGTCTTTTATGCTTTCTAGACACAAACCCCATACCATAGCCATTAAAGCCAGACTATACACATGGCTCTTGATGTACAAGGTTACATGATAATTTGTTGGTTCTAACAGTATATAGTCCACTAAACAAAATTATAGAATCTTAAAAAATGGTAACACAGTGACAATGTTAATTATCTCTAGGAAACAAGTGTGCTTATTAAACAAGCAGTTAGACCCTCTAAGCACTCCAGCAAACCAAACAAATATTTTGGACTCTAAAATTAAAGCACGCACAGAACTAGAATGTAAAATGCATATGAACAAAAAGAAGGCCCTGTTAAAGATCAAGAAACTAAAATTAAAAGCCATCAAAGAGAAACCAATTCATAAGGTTATATAGATAGATCAAATAAGGAAACTCTTCTTACAGTGAAAATTGACATACCAAAACCTTAACTGAATACACGTTGAGTAAAAACAGTTGGCAGGAGTAGACTAATGTGTTTGGCCATTTGGTCACTAATGATAAAACTAAGACATCGAACAGATCTCTTCCCTTGGAAGATAAAAGTTTATTAGATTTAAGAACCAGAGGGTACCACACAAGGCCAATATTGCTGAGATGATTTAAGTTCCTACAGATTTAGTGAAACATGTGGTTGTAATAGGTGAACAGAGTGTCAATGGGTAGATTCCACAACCAACGCTTAATAACACTCATTGCGACCTATCACAAGAACCTTTCAAAGAACATAATCGGAAACCCATATGATTTGAGTTTTAGGAATGTGTAATGAAAATAGGAAGCCCTAACAGGCATATTAATGACAGCCAGCTTAAAAATAACTTTATCATTAAACTTAGATTCTTGATACTTGAGTAAAGAAACCATGCAATCTAAAACAACACATATCCACGACCAAATAAAGTTCATGCACTTGTAGAAGTCTTATCTAAGCATAAACTATGCAAATAAGTACGTGCAACTGATATGTAACATCATAAGTGAGAATTTCTACAACAAATGGATGCGCAAAAGACAATCTATACGCTGGCTAAGGGGGAATAAAGCATTTAACTCACCTCTCGATAGATTTAAAGACGATTACCCTGCTCATCAGATGACTATTAACCAATCAACTCTTCAGAATCTGAGTCACTTGCATTGTAACCTGGAAGTCAACAAGCACAAGTTGGTCAATTTGTCAAATCTAGATGAAATAGACTACATGGACGATTCTAAAGTGCCAGTCAAAAAAGAGAAGAAGATCACCTGGGCGTTTATTGCTAACTTTCCAAACTGAAGATCTCACTCTTGAAGCTCTTCTCATCCAAATTCCTCCCTGAGATTTAAATTAATTAAATAAATCCACAGAAAGGCATACAGAGGGCTGAAAATGAGACATAAAACCGAGAAAGTAAATGCAGAATCAGGGAGAAGAAGCATACATATTTTGGGTGCACAAAATTTAAACTAAGTATTTTGAAGAAGCATACATATTTTGGGTGTACAAAATTTAAACTGAGTATTTTGCGATTCAACCAAAGAAATCAAAAGAACTTTAAATAGATAAAATAAACTTTACACCTTTATGGTGCTCAAGCAATGCAACAAAGCCAATTCCAAACGCGGCTATTGCAAAATAAATCTTCTAAAACACAAAAAAAAAATACTGAATCGTTAACGCATTCATCTAACATTTAAGGTTATTCTTCTTGACAGTCCATTTACTAGTTCAAAAGGAAAAGGCAACAATTACTGCATATGCAAACCCATATAAATTAAACTATCTAACAATGTCAAAGAAAAGTGAAAACCCAAATTCCAAATATCATCATGGCAAAATATATTACAAAGATTAATTCCCTAATTGTTGGCCAAAAAAGTACATCCCCCCTCCCGAACTTCGCTCAGCTTTTCTTCAGCAGCATCAGAACTGGTTTACAACCTCCAACATCAGAATAACAAGGACGACGAATAACAAAGTCAAACCACTGATAAGCAACCGAAGGGGAAAAAAAAGAGAAAAAGAACTTGGGAAAAAAGGCCCCGAAAATAGTGACAGCCATAGTAGAGAGTACCTTTTGGGCATCCCGGGTAACACCGTAGCCGTTAAAGTACATCTGACCCACCAAAATCTGCATATTAACATCTCCTGCTTTGGCCTCTTTGAGGGTGTCACTAAACCACCTTTTGACGCACTCCGACACCACTTCAGAAAGTGGCACTGTCGTCACCTCCTTCTCACCGTTGCTCTCCTCTGCTTCCATTTCCTTGGCTTCCTCCCCTGCTGGTTTTGGGACGCGGGACTGGTGGGGTTGTGTGAGTTCTGTTCTGGCCCGGCTGGGTGGATTTTGACAGGGCAGTCGGTGCAGCGTAAGCAAGGGACGTTAATCTAATCAAAGTCGTTTTTGTTTTTTTTTTCTGGGGTTAAAATCTAATCAAGTTGTCGACTAGTAAAATGTGCGCTCTGGGCTGTGGCTTTGCTGTCGATATCAACGAGAATGTGTGTTGTGTGACGTGATTAAAGGCGTGCTAGTAATGGATTAAAAAAAAAAAAAACAATTGTGATGACTTTTTCATTTTCCTTCTTTTTCTTTTCTAAAAAGACATAATAATTGTCATTGGAAGCGTTTTTGGTCTTCCGAGAAGATCTTTCGTGTGCTTTGGCCTCACTTAATTCACAAAAACGCACCCTAAATCTAGAGCTTCAAAAAGTGCTACACGGAGCACCAAGCACTGTACCCGCTTGTCTTCAGCTATAAAAACACAAGGTGCTCTACTTACCGTACCTTCGTTAACAATTACATGTTTCATTTAAATCACCACCCCTCAGCTTGATTTTTAGAATGACGCAGTCTGGACCTTCAAATGGCTCAAACTGGCAAAACAGTCCAACCTGTGATCGTTCAATCTGCACAAATTTCCTTACAAGCATAAATTCCAGGTCTTCAACAGAATTTTTCAAACCTGAAACCTTCTACCAAACTAGTACAGGGATATTTATCAGATGAAATCCTTTCACCATGTACGCGCAAAAGCATAAAATGGTTACATATATGCACAAGTAATTGAATTCAACAATTACACCACAACTTCTCCAGGAGCTAGCGAAACAAACTGTATACAGAAACGAAAGTGGTACCTCGTTACACAAAATCGGTAAGATCAATCGTGATAATATCTACACTGGACTCGATTGATAAAGCACTTGCAAGCTAAAACTAAATATATTTAGCTCCTATTGCTATATGAGAGGGGGAGAGAGAGAGTATATGCATGTTTGTATGTATTAAAGGAGTAAGACCCCAACAGAAAGGCACAAGCCGCAAATGGCAAGGATTCTTTTCGAGGAAGAGGAGTTCCCTATGCCCTCCACGCTATTCCACAAAGCAACAAAGAATTGTTGCAGCGCAGATATACTGCATATGCATCACATGGATGATGGGAAATTGCCAGGTTATCCGTATGAAACTTGCGCAAGACTTCATGAATCACTCCAGCTATCATCATCATCCTCATCACTTCCAGCAAAAGCCTGCAAGAAACACATTCATTAATGCAAATATAAGCCTGAGAGAGAGACACACACACAACAGACAGAATGACGGACCGACCAACCTGGCGTATTGTTTTTGCTTTCTCCAGGATTGCAGCAACCTTCAAATTAGTTTTAGGACCCTGAATACTAGGTCTTGTCACAACTGCAGGTTTCAGGTTGAAAGACTGCAACATCCAACGGATCCAGTCATTACGTAAACTAAATCAAGATATATATTCAGAGAACAAAGAAGATCCCAAACATTATTTTCACCTTGGCCCTTATCTGTTCCAGCAGTGAATCTCTTTCATCTTCCTTCTGTATCTGAGGTCTAAATCGCTCTGTTACTTTCCTTAACTGCAACAGTTCAAATTGTTAGATAACATGAATGAACCAAGCTGATATACAGCAGTCAGAAAGAAAGAATAGCACTCAGATACGAACTTTGCTCTTGTCATGAGCAGCAACAGCATCTATTAAAGGATTTCGAGGTCTCGGCAGCTTCATTGGTTGAACTCCATGCAGTTTGCCATCTTCACTAGTTGGCCATGATAATTTTTCCTCTGAAGTTGGCATGGCATGCTTGTTTGCTACATCTGAAGGTAATTCAGTTGTACTACAAGTCATGACATTGTCATCTGAATAAGCAGAGTGCTGACAAAGCTCCATGTCCTTTAAACTTTTTTCTGGGGCCATTTCATTGAGAGGTTTGACAACTTCTTGGTGTGACAATTCCAAAGCATCAGCGGAAGCTGCATCCATGACAGATGCATGGGAGGAATCCAAAGTGGTCGGGACTTTTTCTCCCTCTCCAGCCTGGCAATCATTTTGCAGCATTCCACCATGTGATTCAGGCAATTGTAATGATGTACTTGTGCACCCGATCACTTCTTGAGGGAGGACATCATCTTTCGAATCTCCATCATGAACCACAGCTTGTACTTGCGACAAGAATGGATTAGTAATAGTTATCAGCTCTTCTGACATAGGCATTGACATCTCACATGCTGAAGCTGATGGTGGCGAAAATGGAACCAACGGTTGAGCTTCCTGATCAGATATACATTGCAATGGCGGTGGAAAGGCAGTTGCAGTGCGTTCTGCTGACATTCTCTCAAGGGTTTGGTTAGCATATTGAAGCTTTCCCATCCTCCATTGAACAGGAGGAAGGGGCGGCAAGGGAGGCATTTCTTCCACGTAGATCTGACTTGAATTTGAAAGCAGAGAAGAGCCCAAAGCTATTGAACTTGATGGATCTAACAGGTGTTCACTCACTTCGATCATATTGTTGCCCTGTGGTAAGAGCTTTGACGTTGACAGTTGACTAGGAATGTTTACCAGCAAAGATTCCGCAAAAGTATCAGAAGCTCCCACTTGATCATCTTGATTTGAGTAATGTTTCTGCTGCAACTGATTGAACAACTCCGAATTGGCCTGACCTTCACTAAACAATTTCTGTTCATATTCTTGCACTTGTATGTCAAACTTTTCTTTGAGATGCAGTTCCTGTTCATTCTGTTCAACAGATGATTGACATGTTGGAGCATCACCAGGATTTAGACTACTTCTGGCTTCTGAAACAATATATGTATCAGATGCATCATCACACGCTTGTGACCCTGTATCTTCATCAGTTACAATGTTGCACAAACTGTTTAAATCTGGTGAAGCATATTTCTGATGGCATACATCCTCTGCGATATCTGATTTTCCAGGTGTATCCAACCAAAATGCCTCAGTTTCCAATCCATTATGCTCATTTCCAATACCAGGGAGGGGTCCCTCATGAAATTTTTTGGGATCAACAGATGAACCATCATCGTCATCCTCAACAGCATGATTATCATGACTAGAAAAAGTAGCGGGAACATTTAAAGGTTCACGAGCAATCTCATCTAAGTGTACATCATCGCCAGCCATGAGTGATGGCTCTGATGTAGTATCCATTTCTACTAAATCAGGGTCAGAGGTGGCTTTGTCCATTACTGCACCATCTCCTAGATTTGAGGGCTGATCAAAATATTCCTCTCTAAGGTACGAAGTTCTTTCTTCTGATAGCCCAAGTGGTGGAATTTCACCTATTGTTCCTGAAACAAAAGATTCCAAAGATTCACAAATTACGGGAATGTCTTCTTTGAAGATTAAATTGTCAGCTTTTCCCCCAGCTGATGGAACTGCATCATCTATTTCAGAATCTCTGTCAACAGGTTCTACCTTGGAGCAGTGAGTTTCTACTTCCATGCTAATTGCATCAATAGATTGCTCTCCTGTAAGTGTCATCACTAAATTTTGTGGACCTATCTGGTTTTCTACAGAATCTGCTACCAAATTATCTTGCGGATCACCGCTTTGAGGCACATTCTCCAGCAAATTTTCAGTTATCTTCTTCTCAGTGGCAGCATCAATAGTATCAGATGCAAAAACAGGGGCATCCAGAACAAAATTTGGATTCTCAACACCAGAGTCATCTAGTCGCAGTTTCTCATATGACATTTTGGGTGACAAATCATCTCTATTCTGCAAAACAGCATCCAAAGGATTGAAAGCATTAGATGAATCATCTCTCGAATTTGGGCCATCCTCATCATGTAACTTGTCCAGAGGCTGGGTTTCAGAGGATAAGAGAAATGGATTGTCATCCATGGCATGGTGAGCAACAAGGCAATCAGCGGTAGAAGCTAAATCATCCTGCTGATTTCTGTCCTCGTCCTCTAACTTATCATCAAACTTATTTTCAGCTGACACTTCGAATAGGTAGCCATCTCTCGAAATGGATTGAACAGGCAGATGAGATGTGCAGCCTAGGTTCTTAGCTTTATTGACATTCTCATTCTCAAACTCATCTAGATGCTGATTATCACCAGACATCTGTCGGGACGAGTAGTCTCCCTCTTGTAGCCAGTCATCGCTGGAAATTAAGGGTGGGTCCATGCTGAGTTTTGGTACCATCTCATCTATTTCAGGACCCATTGAGGCAATCTGTTTTACAACTGCTGCTTCATTCTCATCAACAGGAGCTGAATCTGAAGGAGCAGCTAGATCTCCAGGCTCGGAACTGTTACCTAGGTTCTTAGCTTTATTGACATTCTCATTCTCAAACTCATCTAGATGCTGATTATCACCAGACATCTGTTGGGACGAGTAGTCTCCCTCTTGTAGCCAGTCATCGCTGGAAATTAAGGGTGGGTCCATGCTGAGTTTTGGTACCATCTCATCTATTTCAGGACCCATTGAGGCAATCTGTTTTACAACTGCTTCTTCATTCTTATCAACAGGAGCTGAGTCTGAAGGAGCAGTCAGATCACCAGGCTCAGAACTGTTACCAGGGATTTCAACTGGCTCAGTGAAGGAACCATCAGAAGCAGCACCTCCTAGAGGCTGGGACACATGTCCTCCCCCAATGGATTGCTGAGTTGGTAAATCCTCACTTGCATGGATTTCTGTAGATGTAAAAGTATTAGAAGAAACTTCACCCTCTGAAGGTGTGTTTTCAGCAGAAGTACTATGAGAATCAGAATAGGAAAAGCTAGATAAATCTTTCTTGGATGAGCTATTGCCTTCATCAGATAAGCTGGAATTTCCCATTGATAGCGAATCAGAAAAATGGGCATGAACCTGTTCCCCATCCATATCTGAATTTGATGCCTGCCTTCTGCTATTCAAGTTGAGCAAATCGTTCTTGGATCTCAACTCAGAGTCTGTATCCATTTCTGAGTCCATGGTAGCGAGTGCATCCATATAATTCTCTATCTCACTTGCAGCATCATCAGATTGATAGTCACCTCCACTTTCTTCCTTTTTAATTCCTCCATCCACTGATACCTCCATTGCAGTTAATCCCTTATGAAGAGTAGAGGAAATGTAATTTGCTTCTACAGCAGACTTTGAC